TCTTGGTGTTGAACGTTTTGTGGGTTTGGGCAAATGCATGATGACTTGTATCTACCATCATAGTCTAATACAGAATAATTTCATTGCCCTAAAAATCCTCTGTGCTCTGCCTAGTCATCTTTCTTTTTCCTGTAACTCCTGGCAACTTCTGATGATTTTACTATTTTCATAGTTTTACCTTTTCCAGAATGTCATGCAATTGGAATCATTTGGTGTGTTGCCTTTTCAGTTTGGCTTCTTTCACTTACTAATATACATTTAGATTCTGTCATGTCATGTCTTTTCATGGCTTGATATCTCATTTCTTTCTTGTTTTTAATTAAGACATTTTTTTAGAGCAGTTTTAGGTTCACAGAAAAATAAGAAGGCAAGTATAGAAATTTTCCATATATCCCCGCCCCCGACATACAGAGTCTCCCTCATTATTAGCCTGCCCCACCAGAGAGGGGAGGGGTACATTTGCTACAGTTAATGAACCTACATTGCACATCATCATCACTCAAAGTTCATAGTTTACATATGTGTATCCATCATTATGGTATCATATGGAATATATTCACTGTCCTAAAAATCCTCCATGCCCTACCATTCATTGCTTAGTCCAACCCCTGGCAACCACATCTTCCCTTTTCCAGAATGCCATATAGTTAGAATAATATAGTTTGTTGCCATTTAGATTGGCTTCTTTCACTTAGTAATATGCAATTAAATTTCCTGCATGCTTTCTCATGAATTTTAAAGTACTTAATAATATTCTGTTGTCTGGATATACCACAATTTATTTATCCATTCACCTACTGAAGGACATCGTGGTTGCTTCCAAGTTTTGGCAATTGTGAATAAAGCTGCTGTAAAACATCCATGTGCGAGTTTTTGTGTGGGCATAAATATTCAACTCTTTTGTGTAAATACCAAGGAGTGTGATTGCTCGATTATGTGGTAAGATTATGTTTAGTTTTGCAAGAAGCCACCAAACTGTCTTCCAAAGTGGCTGTGCCATTTTGCATTTCCACTAGCAATGAATGAGAATTCCTTTCGTTCCACATCCTTGCCAGATTTTGGTATTGTCAGTGTTTTGGACTTTCGGTATTGTAATAGGTATGTAAGGGTATCTCATTGCTGTTTTAATTTGCTTTTCCCCAATGATATAATGTGGAACATCTTTTCATATGTTTGTTTGCCATCTCTATATTGTATTTGGGGGGATGTCTATTCAGATCTTTTGCCCATTCTTTAACTCTTTGTTTTCTTATTATTGAGTTTTAAGAGTTTTCTGTATATTTTGGAAATAGTTCTTTATCAGCTATGTTTTTTGCAAATATTTCTCTCCCTGTCTATGGCTTGTCTATTCATTCTCTTGGCAGTGTCTTTCACAGAGCAGAAGTTTTTAATTTTAATAAAGTCCAGATTATTATTTCTTTCATGGACCATGCCCTTGGTGTTGTATCTAAAAAGTCATCACCAAACCCAAGGTCATCTGAATTTCTTATTTTGTCTTCTAGGAATTTTATAGTTTTGCATTTTACATTTGGGTCTGTTATCCATTGAGATAATTTTTCTAAGGGGGTATGAAGTCTGTGTCTGGAATCATTTTTCTATGTGTGGATATCTAGTGATTCTAGCACCATTTGTTGCAAAGGCTATCTTTTGTCCATTATATTGCCTTGCTCCTTTGTCAAAGATCAGTTGATTGTATTTGTGCAGACCTATTCCTGGGCTCTCTGTTCTATTCCATTGATCTGTTTTTTTCTGTACTTTTCGCCAATACTACAATGTCTTGATGACTGTAGCTTTATGGTAAGTCTTAAAGTCAGAAAATGTCAGATTCTGACTTTGTTCTCCTTCAATATTGTGCTGACCTCTTCTTTCACTTTTCCATATAAACATTAGAATTAGTTTTTTGATATCCACGAAGTAATTTGCTGAGATTATGAATGGGATCACATTGAATCTATAGATCCAGTTGGAAAGAACTGACATCTTAACAGTACTGAGTCTTCCTATCCATTATCATGTAATATCTATTTATTTAGTTCTTCCTTGATTTCTTTCATCAGAGTTTTATGTATATATGCTTAGACATCCTTGTTGTCTTCATTGTTCTAACTTAATATGTTAAATGTTGCCTCCTTCAGGGCTTTTTATTTTTATTTTCTTTATTTTTGCAAATACAGTCTTCAAGATGCCATTCTTAGTGTAAACCTGGAGGTAAACAGTAAGAGTTCCTTTCCCAGAAATCCTATTACAAAGGATTGGCCAAGCATTGGCCAAGTCACCAACTTTATCCTGACCACACCCAGATGATAGAGAAAGGGATTCTATAGTGAGAAAACAATGTATAATTAACAAAATAAAAATTGATAAATGCTAGAGGGCAAAAATGACAGATAGTCTTTCACATGTTTTATCAAAATCACATTGTCATTTCAAATTCATATTAACAAATTAATCAACACTCTACGCCAAATAATAGTGAGAACTGGAATGTATACCTCGAATACCACTCTGAAATGTGTATCTGTTCCCTAGATTTCTTTAGTTTCCATTTACTTTATAACACATTTGCAATCTAGTTTGACCTCAATTACTTTGACCAATTGCTGTTGGTCTTTTCTCAGTCTTCATAATTCTTAATCATTTTCCCTGATAATATTGGCCATCATCTCTTTGAAAAATATTTTTATAATGTATATGTGTTATTGTACTATTCTGACTTTACTTCTACTCTCTCAAGATTCCTTCTCCTTCAGTAGCTTCTTTGCTTCTTACCTTCAACATGTATGTATGCCTCAAGTTCTTTTTATGGTCCATTTTATTCTTTTTCAATATTTTCTTTTTCTGAGATTTTGTCTTTTCCCACAAGTTTACTTTTTACCTCTGTTCAGATATTTCTCAAGTCACTCTCTTTCTGGTCTTTCTATTAATATCTAGTCTCTTTCCTTAACTCTATATCCTTATTTCTGACTGGCTACTGTACATAACTACCAACATGTATCAAACTCATTATGTACAAACTTAAACTCATTTTCCCCTCCAAGTGTACTTTTTCCTTGTTTTTGTTATTTAACACAACTGTTTTCCCCCAGTAATGTACACACAGAAAAAATCGTCTCTTATAGCTGTCTCTCCTTTACCATGAGCATTCAATTGGTTATCTGATTCTTTGTAGGCTAGTTTTAGTGTCTCTTACACTATTCCATATTCATGCCCATCTTTCTAGTTAAAGTTGTATCTTGCCCAAACTCTTGAATAAGATAGAACTTTGACTTTAAGTGGTCTTTTGCTTTTAGTCTCCCCATATTCTACTCCACTGCCATATTAGATTTTTCTTTCTAGTTTTTGTTTCTCTGCACAAAAATACATAATGGTGCTCCATTGTTTTCTCTATAAATAAGATGTTTAGCCATGAATTGAGGGTCATCTCACATGTTGCCATAACATGCTTGTTCAGTCTTGCTCCCAGGACTCCCAAACATGCTCTTTTGCTCTGGTAACACAGGGCCCCCTTACCATGCCTTCTTCTTCTCTCCCCTCTTGCGTTTGCTTATTCTATCGTCTCTGTCTTACTTTCTTCTTCCCTTTCTTTAACTCTTTACGTCCTGCCCATGACACAAGATTGAATTCACATACTCTCATACACTTAGCCACACCAGAAGAACTGCTCTACCACTTTGTTTCTGCCTTTCTTGTGACAATTAACTTAAGCAGCTTATGTTATAGTTGCTAAAGGATTTATCTTATTTCTACAAGGTTGTAAATTTCTTAAGGACTCTTCTTCTTTTATCTTCATACCCTCTAACAGCTATTAGTTCTGCAATAAGAATTTTTGAATTTAACTGTTTGTTATTTTCATACTTTATTTTTCCCTCTTATGGAAATTTATAGACATGCTTCCATTTCATGTTGCATACCATTTAAGGAAAGTCAGTTTCTTATTTATTTTTCTGTTATCTTGTTAGAGAAAAATACTCCAAGCAAAGTGGAATGTAACATATAACTTTTAGAGAGGTTTTTAGTGTAGTATCTAAGTTATCACTAACATTTTTGTTTTATGTATAATGACCCTTAAACTTTTCCATTGAATAATTAATCTGTTTAAATTTTACCTTTAAGTTAAAATCCTAAATTATTTATATGAATGTAAAAATTGTATCAACTAAACATTGGGTCCTAAACAAAGTAACTGAATAATGGAAAGCTCCAGGTTAAATGGGGAAATATATTAAAATTTCTTTTGGGGCTTTGACTTTATTGCTTATGGCAAACTTGATGCTAAAATGTACTATACATCACTACCATGACAGGCTTGAGAAAATGAAAAATACAAAGCTTTACATAAATCAGCCAAAAGATCGTATTAAAATGCATAACCTTTAACAGAAGAATCAAGACTTCTAACAATTCAAAAGCTCCTTCTTCCTTATGTAGTTGTTTCAGATTTTTTCACACAGCTTTATGAGAAATAATATTTCAAATTAATTGTTGCAAAGCCACTGCATTTATAAAGAGACAAGGTTCACAGAAATTTAACCCCAATTTACTGATGTACCCTATTATCATTTAGTACTTAATTTTATTTTTTGTTGAAATAATCCATGGGACAATTATATGGTTTATATCATTATAATAGCTCATAGTCCGAGAAGTTGTTACTTTTAGAAACATAATCTCAGAGTCCATTCTTCAGTCTTTCATTTTATTTTACTTTATTTCAGAAATCTCATCAAATATCTTGAAAAAATTTGTAACATTAAATCATCTCTGTGCTTTGATTTTTCTCTTCAATCCAACAAATATACTCTGTTTAAAAACTGTTAGGCCTACATGGAATTCACTATAAATATGGCTAAATTACAGTGTAATTCTAATTCTAACTTTAAATTGAAGTTATTATGGGTAACCATTATTCCCAATGTTATAAATACAGTAACATATGTCACTAGTTTGAACAATCTGAACTGAATGTAAAGCCGTAATATTTTGTTCATTCAAGATGAAAACTGATGTCTATGATATGATCTTGTTTTTCTGATATGTAGTGGGGCAGACAGGGTGCTTGTATATTTATTTATATTCTAATAAGGATTTGTATTTTAATAAGGATATTTTTATAGTTTTAATAAGCTTATATATCTATTATATTTTAATGAGATGGTAAGATGTGATAGTTTCAGATAGTTTACTGATAATATGGTTTCTTTGGGTAAAGGGTGAATGAAGTGGGAAACAAAAAAGCTTAATTCTTCATATATCTGTAATTGTGACTTCTTACAGTGAGCATATATTTTTAAATGTAAAAGTATTTGATTAAGAAAATGAGATGGGGGACAGTCTAATGAGTTCTAGTTCTAAGTAAATTCTTAATGTTATTGTACAACATTTTAGTAGTCTCATTACAAGGAGACACACTAGAGCCCTTTAAAACTTCCCATATAATGTAAGTGAAAACAGTGCCTACAATATAGGTTGACTAGTTGATCTTATAGTAAAGTCTAAGCAGTAGATCCTGGAGGAACAACAACAAGAGCAATAGCAACAACAACAACAACAACAACAACAACAACAATGACAACGACTATATATTTTTGTATGTGTATATATATATATCAATTGACTAAAACTATTTTGATGGCAAGCTTCTTGAGTATGTTATGCACAGAAATTTATTGTCACAGCTCACAGCAGCATGTATAAATTCAAAGATCTCCATAGAGGTATATTACCACTGTCTTTATACCACGTCAAAAATATTTCCTTACAGAGAGACAAAGAAGAAATGTAAAGGATGGCTTTTATTCATCAATGTTTGGTTCATCACAACTTTCCTAGCCCACTCCACCCTCTCCTCATCTTTGCCTTCAAGTTAAAGAGCAGAAAACTGATCTGGTAAGAGTAAGCAAGACATTTTAAAGGTTTTGAAACCTAATTCTATAAGCCATGTTGATACAACTTGGGATTCAGATAGTTTACGGCCCTAGGTGCCAGTGGGTCGATGCTGCCATTAGTGATCATTGGAGCAGATTAATAAATCAAGCATCAGAGTCACCCAAATTCGGAGAGCTACTTAACTCATTTTGTGCCCCTAATGCATAGATTTCAATAGTACCAACAGTTTACCACTGTGTCAGGAAGTCATGAATCAAACTGGGCAGTGGAGGAGTGTTTCTGAACCCAAATATGTGATAGACTTACTTAGTTTGGGGGAGGATAATAAAAATAACAAATTAATTGATTTCCTTCTCTTCTGTCAAATTCTAATTGACTATTATTTTTCTTTGATATTTACTTAGTTGTTACACTTTCCCATGGAGCTTTTTCTTGTTGGTGGTGTTTTTAAAAATAAAATTTCTGATTGGTGTTTTCGTAAAGTTTCACTTTAATGATATCCTATAAAAGAGATGTAGCATACTACTTTTTCATTTAACATATTTATTGAGTGCTTACATTAATATTCCTGGCACTGTTCATGCAGTGGGGATACAACAGTGAACTGGATAACCAAAAATTATTTGCTCCTGGAGCTTTTATCCTATGGAATGAGACACATAAATAATCAAATATGTAAAATAGAGAAATGGGGGGGGAAATTGCCTCACTGCCCATAGAAATGGAGATTGGAATTTATGGAATAAACATGATCTGAGAATGCTAGGCTGCTGTGGTATCAGGTTTAAGCCCAAATTGAGGGTAATAAAACTAGTTCTTTTGGTCAGATAGCAGGTAGTGGTAGTGAGCTGTGAGTAGTTGGATTTCGGTAGGGAAGGGCTAAGAGTCTTATAAAAGCCTTTTAATAGTCTTGTATACAGTTAAAGAGTGATTCAGTGCATTGGAAGAGAGGTTAAGAAAATATTCAGGATGAAGCATGGAGAGAAACAAAGATAAAAGTACATATTAGAGGCTGAGAAATAAAAACCGTGAAAAGGTCTAAAACACATAATTGAAGTGTAAGAGAGGAGAGGTATAAAGGGAAAAGTGCAATAATTGAAAAGATAATGGTTCAGAACTTACCAAAATTAATGAAACACACAGATTCAAGAAGTCTTATGAGCCACAAATGAAATAAAAAGAGATCCATATTTAGGTATACGGCAAGAAAACTATTGGAAACAAAAAGCAAAATAATTTGAAAATTATCAAGATGCATTTTTTAAAAGGCTGCATTCAATAAAGCAACTGTTAAAATGAAACCTAACTTTTCAACAGAAAGAAAAGAAGCCAAAACAATGGAATCATATCCTTTGTAGTGTTAAATGAAAATAACTATCATCCTAGAATCAGTAGCCAGGTAAAATATACTTCAAAAATTAAAGTGAAGGTACTTTCAGGATGACAGTAATGCATTTGTCAAAACTCATTGATAGGGCACTTCTGGCTTGTTGTGTTTCACTCTAATTTTTATCCTGAAGAAATAAACAAATATTTAACTCTAGTTAACAGCATTTATGTTAAGACCTTAGCATCTTTTATTAAGCTTTGTTGTGTCTGCTAGTAATTTTTTTAAGTTTTTCTTTGAATATTCCTTAACGATTTTTTTTACACCAACATTTTACTAAGGAAAATTTTAAACATACAGAAAAGTCTAAAAAGAAAGAGAAAGAAAGAAAGACCTTCCCCGATTTGAAAAACAAAAACAAAAACAAAAAACACAGAGTTCTAGACTCACCTTTCTTATGAATATTGCTAAAGGGAGTTCTTCGAGTTGAAAAACAAAGGAGACTAGACAGCAATACTACAGCACATGAAAATGTAAAGCTCTCTGATAAAGGTAAATATATAAACATACAGAGTTTTATAATATTGTAATGATAGTGTGTAAATTACTTCTGATTCTGTTATAGAATTTTACAAATAAAATCATGAAAAGTAACTATAACTAGAACTATGTTAACGGATACAAAATACACAAAGACTATTTGACATTGATAACACAAAGTAGGAGGGAGGAAGTATAAAAGAGTAGAGTTTTATATGTAATTGATGTTAAGTTTTTATCAGTTTAAAATAGATTGTTACAGATGTCTGATGCAATCCCCATGGTAACCACAAAGAAAATAGAGAAAGGAATCAAAGTATATCACTATAAAAAATATTAACAATACACAAAGGACAGCTGCAAGAGAGGAAAGAGTGACAAAAAAACTAGAAGACTAGAAGACATAAACAATTAACAAAATGACAATAGTGAGTTCTTCTCTACCAGTAATTGCTTTAAATAGAAATAGATTAAACTCCCAAAGGAGAGAGAGGGTAAAGATCAAGATGGTGGAGTAGGAGGACGTGGAGCTTACCTCCCTCCAACAAACACATCAGAAATGACATCTGCATGTGGAATATTCTCACAGAAAACCAAAGATACAGAGTGAGGGAATACACAATATGTCATTTACAAAAGACACATGTTAGATATAAAGTTATATATAGGCTGAATGTGAAAGGATGGGAAACGATATTCCATGAAAATGGTAACCAAAAGAGAGCAGGAGACACCATATTTATATCAGATAAATAAATTTTAAGTCAAAAACCATAATAAGTGACAAAGAAGGTCATTAAATAATCATAAATTAGTCAGTCCCCCTGGGAAAGTATAGCAACTATAAGTATATATACACCTAACAACAGAGCACCCAAATATAAAAAGCCAACATTGACAGAATTGAAATGAGAAATAGAAATTAACACAATAATGGTAGAGATTTCAATATCTCACTTTCAATAATGTAGAAATCAACCACATCAAAGGTCAGTAAAGAAACAGAGGACTTGAACAGTATTGTAGATTAATTGGACTCAACAGACATTAAAATAACACTCCACCCAACAACAACAAAATACACATTCTTCTCAAGCATACAGGGAATGTTTTTCAGGACAGATCACTTGTTAGGCCACAAAACACTTCTTAATAAATATAAGAAGACTGCAATGCTCTAGATTTATATATTATTGTTACCATGACATTTGTACAAAACAGCTCATAGAAAATGATAATTCTCCAGGAACAAAATGTAAAGTCATGGAATAATGCAGCCTAACTAATAAAAAATTCAAAATAGCTGTCATGAAGAAAGTCAACAAGATGAGAGAAAACTCAAAAAGGCAGTTCAGTGAGCTCAGAAATAAAATTAATGAACAGAAGGAATACTTTACCAAAGAGATTAAAACTCTAAGGAAGAATCAAACAAAGTTTGGAGCTGAAGAAACCAGTAAATGAGATGAAGAATGCATTGGGAGTAGAGCAGGCCATGGAAGAGAGAATTAGTGAACTCAAAGAAAGAAATCTAGAAATGATACAAGTTGAAAAGGAAAGATAATTAAAGTCTAAAAAAGAAAGGAATTTCTGTAAGAGTTATCTGACTCTTAGGAAGGGCACAACTAGGTAACGGGTATCCCAGAAGGAAAATAGTTGTTTGTTTTTTTAAATAACTAAGAAATTCTCAGACCTGAGGAAGGAACTGGATACTCAAATCCATGAAGCTAAAAGAACACCTGATTATTTCAACACAAAAAGACCTTCTCCAAGATACATTATATTAAAACTCAAAAGTCAATGAGAAAGAATTTTAAAGATGGCCAGGGAAAATGGATGGTAACCTACAAAGGACACCCACCTCCAATAAGGTTATCAGCAGATATATCAGCTGAAATTCTGCAAGCCAGGAGGGAGTGGAGTGAAATTCTCAAAATACAGAAAAATAAAAACTGTCAACCAGGAATCCTCTATCCTGCAGTTAAAATTCAGATATGAAAGGGAAATAAAGGCTTTCCCAGACACATAAAACCTGAGGGAGTTCAACAACACTAGACCAGCCTTATAAGAAATGTAAAAAAAGAGCTCTTCTACCAGAAACAAAAAGGCAAAAATACATAAAACTTTGAGTAAGGTAATAAATAATAGATAAATAAATAATAAATAATAGATAAATAATAATAATAGATAATAAATAATAAATAGGTAATAAATAATAGGTAAATAATCAGAAAATCTCAACTCTATATCAGAATAGGTATTGAAACACATTGGTATAGCATAAAATTTAAAGGAGAAACAAGCAGTAAAAATAACTATAGCTACTTCCATTTGGTAACAAGTTTACGACATAAAAAGGGATAATTTGAGACAACAAAAACATAAAAAGGGTAGAGGAAAAAGACAGAACCCATATGGGCAAATGAAGATACGAAGCTATCAAAGCAGAAAAGTGACTATTTTATCTATGAGCTGTTTTGTACAAGCCTCATGGTAACCATAATATGTAAATCTAGAGAAGAGACACAAAACATAAAAAAAAAAAGAAAACTTCTGAGAAAAACATCATAAAAAGCCATTAAGTCAAAGAATTCAGGAACACAAGGGAAATGGAACAATGGAGATATAGTCCAACCAGAAAATGAAAGACAAAATGGTATTACTAAGCCTTCATTTATCAGTAATCACCCTAAATGTAAATGAATTGAATACACTAAATCAAAAGACACAGAGTGATTGGATGGATTTAAAACAGCAATAATGACTATATGCTGCCTCCAGAAGGCTCACTTCAGCTCTAAAGACAAACTTAGGCTCAAAGTGAAGGGACTGAAGATGATACTCCAAGCAAATGGCAGCCAAAAGAAAATAATGCTCAGCTATATGCTGATAAATTGAACAACCCAAAAGAATGGACAAATTGTTCAAATCATAAAAACTTCTGAGACTGAATCATAAAGAGGTAGAAAATCTGAATAATCCAATCACTAATAAAGAGATTGAAATAGTAATTAAAAGCCTCTTAAAAAACATAAGTCCAGGGCCAGGCAGCTTTACAGATGAATTCAACCAGTTATTCAAAGAAGATGTAATACCTGTTCTTCTCAAACTCTTCCAAAAAGTTGAAGAGGAGGTA